GAGGAGGAGGAGGAGGAGGAGGAGGAGCATCACCTGCACCATCAGCAAGAACGGCACAACGAAGGGGAGAGGGTGGCGGTGGGGGTGGGGTGGCCGGGTGGCGAAGAGGTGACGTTGGTTGTTGCCAGTGTCGGGTTGATCGCTTCAAGGACCATAATTTTTAGCATAAAATGTATACGCATATGACGACGTCCTGGGCCGGTTTCAGTTCCACCCTGACTGACTTTCGCGTCCGAGGCAACAACGCGAGCGTTACCCTTTTCGTCTGGACCTAGCAACCGAGCTGGTCGTTTGTGACTAAGCCGAAAAATTGTGCTAAACCAAGGCGGCGCGGCGGTACAATTGTAACTGTCGTCTTGTTCCATCCCGTCTTTACAAGATGCACTTTACAGTGCAACATTTTCACTCATGTCTACACCTTCACACACACACATACACACACACACACATAACTTTGTGTATGGGAAGGAAGGGAGAGGTTTGAGTCGTTCTTGGGAGGGACTCGAACTGTGACCGGTTTAAAGGCGGTCTCGGCGGCCACTTCCAATTGGTCGAGCGAGCATCGGTCTGAGCACAAGTGACCCCGTGCTCGACCGGTCCGGCGGACTGACTGACTGACTGACTGACATTTGCTGACGACCTGTCCGGACTCGAGTTGACGCCGGCCGGGATGACCCTCTCGACTGTCATACCCCAATCTTTCCCGCACAAAATCGCAGTCTTCACGCTACCGTGCGAAGAGGTAGTACACACACAAACACACACACACACATACGCACGTGCAAACAGACAAGTTCTCGATTGTGAAGTGAGTGTCAGAAAAAAGAGAAGACGCAGGAGGCTGGAGAGTACGAAATTCAATCTTTTAAAGTAAGCGCTAGGCCCAACAGGTCAGTCAGGATGTCTGCAATCTCGACTTGGAATTGTTCTGCCCTCCAGAATGGACAATCGGGTTAGTCGGACGACATTTTGACGTCCAACTAGTTTTGTTCATAAAACACGTAAACATTCAACTTTTCAGAGTAGGCCAACCAGAGTGTAAACCCATATAAATACACACACACACACACACAAGACAGACACACACACACACACAGACAGACAGACATGTGAAGCGAGAGACAAAGCAAGAGGCACGGGTGGACTGTGTAGTGTGTGTTTATTAGCAGCGGACTTGACAGGCCAGAATCCGCGAGTGAATCCGATTAGCTGCTGCCCGCGAGGTGATAAGACCACGTTTTGGTCGTCCATCTCGAATGACCCAAACGCCCAAAAACAATGCCTCGGAGGCTGGAGGCTTAGCTTTCCCTTGTCCCTTTGCACCGACCCACCCCCCACCCCCACTTGGTCTCACCATTCTGCCCATTTGTCACAATCACTCCGGCTTCATCTCTTTTTTCGGGCAACGAATGTGAAAATGACACTCTTTACCACCTCTTCACCCAACCTTGAGCATACCATAGCTTCTGGTGCCAGCCAGACTTCTGCTGCTGCCGGCGTCTTTCTCAAAACACTCACAGGCATACACACCTACCCGTTCATCTCCACACCCTCTTCTGTCTGTCTATTAGACGTCACATGGGGCCATAATCGATCATTTTGACATTTTTCCTACACAACGTCCCTTCA